CCAATTCATCCCAGCCCTGTGTTTTGGTTGGAGTGGATGGTTGTTGTTGTGTGTGTAGTCTTACTTGATATCTGGTGGTGTGTTGACTTAGGCTTGGTGGTAACATGCCAACCTGAGCCTGACAAACAGGAAGAGGGTGACAGGTGCCCTGCGAGGTTGACTTTTAACACTTGCACACTGGATCATGTGGTGTTTACAGTCTTCAGAATACCATTACTATGAATTTATTGTGAAGAGGAACACAGACCACTACCTCAGTAACTGATAGGGACACTTGTGAAGGTGTTTGTCAATATAGATGAAGTTTCGAATCCTTACATGGGCACAATGTGGGAAAACTGTTGTATGTCCTCTGCTGAAATATTGCTAAAGGTGGTATGAGATCCCTCACTCACTCATTAGGTGGGTTGAACTTGATGCTCATCATATCAATCACTGGATTGTCGATTATATAACAGACCACAGTCATATAGCTTGAATATTGCTGAGTGATGCGTTAAACAAACAAAAAACACTCCTTCACTCACTCACTCACTCACTCACTCACTCACTCACTCACTCACTCACTCACGGAGGCTGATATTAAGCCTTGTAGGAGGTGCTCTGTCGTGCTCATCGCCATGGAGTAAACTTCCTCGCCTGCAATTTGTGAAACCAGGTATTGGTAAAACAGAGTAGCACTGACTCACTCACCCCCTTGTCTTCAGTTTCATATGTTCTTCTCATCCCATTGCATACCATTTACATGCACATATAGTTATCAGTTTGGTGTGTCATGGAATAGCCCTAACAGTAGTGGGGATATATAATCACAGATATGTTCTGTATGGACACACAACACCCAACTAGCAAGACAGAACAGTGTCTGTGTTTTGTCAGGAAGTGATTTTTTTTTTTCAATGATTAAAAAAGGCGATTTAAGAAAGGTCAGTAGTGATGAGCAGCTACATGTAGAAAAGACAGTTATCTTGCGAATACATGCAATGTTAACATCTGACATTATCAGTAACATAGTTATGGACATGTTGTGTCAGCAGTGCAACTCCAAAGGCGCCACAGACACCAAAGCTTCCTCTTACCGCACACTGTACAGTATTACCTATATGTCAGCATGCCTCTTGGTTGTATCCACGTGGGGATTCTGGTTAGAATAGGTCCCAGCAACCTGTGTTGGTAGTGAGAAGCGACTTACTGCTTTAGGTGGTCAGACTCGTTGACCTGGTTGATGCATGTCCTCTTACCCCGACGCAGTAGATCATTGCTCACAATATCAATCACTGGTTTGTCTGGTCCTGACTATTATTATTTACAGGCTGCAGTCATATAGTCTTACAGATCAATATATGACTTTGTAACATGCAAGTTTGCATTCCGCATTTATATTTTAACTTCTTTATGTTATATTGGGGTCTTTCGGTTTTTATCTTGAAGTCTTGGCTCAGCTTTTGGTTTGTAACAGTATTGAGGTGAGAGAAATTCTTCTTCTTTCTTAGATGGCTAGTATGCCAAGTAGCAGATAGCAAAAACTAAATATATGTGGTCAAGGTATACTTGAGGTCATTTACAACAAAAACTGATCATGTATTTGTTAATAAGCTCAAGAATTCAGGATATTCTTTTGAAGATGTGGTATTTTGTTTGGTTTGTTATTTTTCTTCAACCTTTTGCAATATGTAGAGTAAAGAATGAACAAATCGAGAACTGGAAGGTGCAGCTGTATAAAGTTAGTGAATATTTATGTACTTACCGTGTGTTTAGTCTGGAAAACTCACTTAATCTGACTTTTTTACTTCTGTTTATTATGTAATATGATAATCAAGCAGCTTTCATAGCAAAGATGACATTATGTCGAGTGTATTGGTTAGAAAGTGTTTTCAAATGGCATTCAAACTCCAGAATTTGGATCATATTAATACAATAAATATAATGGTACTGATTATGTTTCGCTGCTTTCATCGGTAATATTTGTCTCGTAACTGTATGTCCATTGTGGAAATAAAATTATCATAATTCTGTTACCCTGGTAACCTATGTCTACATTACATTTTGGGCAGTGATGAACCGGATGTATCATCAGTGATGCTTGGTGGGGCCAGGCTGGTGTTACCCTTGTTTCTATTTGGATGCTAACCCCTGACAAGCACCTGTCAACCTGAAGACTATATTTCCACGCAGCAGGAGATTACGACCTAGGTCAGGATCTCCTTGCTGTGGCTTCTTGTCACAAGATAGATGAGTGACGTCCTGTCAGTGCGCTCTGTAGCTGTATTGAATTGCTGCATGGTGCTGGAAGGTGGTTATTGTGATCACAAGAAGTATCATCATGTTGATGGCGTTCTGATAAATATCAGTGCTGACCTTTCAGAACTGTACGAAGAGTTGGTATCATATATGAAGAAAATGATTCTGGAATGTCTTTTGTTGGTAGCTCTGCTAATGGGAAGTAAGGTAAACTCGTTATATGTCTAAGTAGGAGTAATTCTGCACCATAAACTTGTATTTCACCTGAAACTGGAGTGTCTGTTAAATGAAGGTATTGATTTTTGCTTGACTCAATCTTGGTACCTTCCAAACAATAAACATCATTTAGGAGCCATGATTATATGTCAAAGATTGAGCTTGATACTTCATCAGTTCTGGACTCCAAATGATAACAGTGTTCTGGGGTTTGTATGTATTACTCTTGTGGTTTTCTACTTGTCATGGTCATTTGAATGTCTGGTTAAGAATTGGTCTTGCTTGTCATAAGATGCGACTAAATGGATCAGGGGGACTCGGTTACTTGGTTGATGCATGTAATCGTATCCCATTTGCATAGATCAATGCTCATGATGTCAATCACTTGACTGTCTGGTGTGAGAGTTTGTATATATCACTCTTTTGTTGTTTTCTACTTGTCATGACTGCTGAATTTATAGGGTCATCAACAACACATTATGCTGTACCTGAGCTGGTTCAATTGTACTTGTTCAGTGCACAAAGGGTTATGTCCCTGTTTCTTTAGAGGGAAAGGTTATTTGTGGGAATATACCAGTTACTGAGTAAAAGCCGACTCTTCAGACTTGTTCCATGGTCTTCCCTTAGCATGACAACTGTAACTTGATTAAGAACAGGACAGTATGATGTTGCATGTCTTCAGTTTGTGGGATTTCCTCAATATTCAACATATTTCCCATGTTCATCTTATGTCTTGTCACAAGGTCAATGAGTGACCTGTCAGTGTTTGTACCTCTGTAACTGTATTGAATGGTGTTGGAAGGTGGCTATTGAGATCACAATTAGCATCATCATTTATATGTATCTGGACCTCTTCTGCTTATAAGAGTAGTTGTTGACTGAAGCAACTACGGAACATTGACCAAGGCCCAAAGCATCCCCACACAGCACATTCTGGAGAGCATTCCTGTATGTATAGAACCAAGTCAATGGGTGCCATGTTCTATATCTTTAGTGTTGCACTTTCTGTCCCAAGAAACCCATACCAAACTGGCCCCATAAAGAGGCAACATGGCCTTCAGTATTGATCTGACAAAAGCCCCGGCCACTAATGAAGCCATTTCCTAATGCATGTCATTCCCTCTCAAAGACTTATGATGAATGACAGCAAGGACTGAAATGTCCACCACTATGTATAGACTGGGTACATCACGTCAGTACTATGTATAGACTGGGTACGTCACGGCAGTACTATGTATAGACTGGGTACATCACATCAGTACTATGTATAGACTGGGTACGTCACGTCAGTACTATGTGTAGACTGGCAGTGTTCTGGGGTCCTTTAGGTCTTCCATGGTATTTGAATCTTGGGACCCCCGAAATCTTTCTCTTTTAACATTAGGGTTATGACAAGGACCCCTTGACTCTCATGCATATTTTCAAACAGCCTGGGCTAGGATATTCACATGTATATAGTTATGTCGTTCACATTCAGGGGTCCTTGATTCCCAAAGGTTTGTTCCTGTAGTATTTGAATCTAGGGACTCTAGTTTTCAACATTAAGTTTATGACACCTTCATGCTTAATTTCACATACTGCTTCATTGATGACTGTCTCTGCCTACTGCTAATACCTCTATCTTGGGTAAGGGATGCTAAGTGTTTCAACTTGCAAACAGAACCTCTCCTAGGAATTGTCTTGTTGCGGGGAAGTGAATATATTGAAGCGTGTGTCACAGTGACTTGCAGCTTACTGTATGAATGGGAATTGCTCTGTATTAGATGTTTATCGATCAGGGTTCCTTGTCAACGGGATCTCGGGAAGGTTTCTGTACCAAACCATAACACTCATACACTGTGTTCCTTTACATATTGTAAGAGGCAACTTACAGGATCAGATGGTGAGGCTCACTGACATGTCAAGATCCCAATTGTGTGGATTATGCGTATGTCAATCACTAGGTTGTCTGGTCTAGACTTAAATTGTTTACAGACTGCTGGAATATTGCAGTGTTAAACAAGAAAACAAACAAGTCCTTGACTTATTTGCTAGACTTTTGATAGAGAAATAAACATAGATTTGACATTCTATGCTATTGAAACCATGGCCATGCCATCAGTTTACCTCCATCTTTTTTTTATAGACTGGTTTAGAGCAGTAACCAAGTTGTTAATGCGTACCTGGTCACACAGAAGACCCATGTTTAATTCGTCACATGGGTTTTTTCCCTGACGTGATATTGCTGGAATATTGCTTAAAAGTGGTGTAAAACCATACTTGCTCACTCACTCATTACTGCTAGGGGTTCCAGCTGATTTCTGAAAAGATCATCCTGAATTATCAAACCTGCTGCAACATCCAACCAAACCAACACATATAATGAACATTTTTATTACCAAACATATGATCAATGAACATGAAGACAAACAAATAACATGTGGAAGCGATACTGACCCTAACCAACCAATGAACATTACTAGAAGACAAATAACATGATGAAGCAAAACTGTGAGCATGCTGTCAGTCCCTGATCCCTGATGTGTTCCTCCTCTGTGTTGCAGGAAGCAGGACCTGCGTGAGCTGAAGCTGCTCCAGAAGCAGGAGAACAAGCAGTACCAGGACCTCATGTACAAGGCCCATGTCGCCAGAGATGCCCAGGAGAAGAAGTTCGAGACTGACATGCAAGTAAGTCATCAAATCCCTTTCCTATTGTAAAAGGCCCATGTCACCACAGATGTCCAGAGAACCAATAATTCTTACAAATACAAAACCTCTATTACATCATTGACATAAAACCTGTATTCCGGGGGGGGGGGGGGAGATATTGCTGGAATATTGCTAAAAGCGGCGTAAAACCATACTCACTCACTCACTCACTCACTAGTATTTCGGGTGTTATTGCACGATAAAAATCTTCAGTTTTTCAATAAAACACTGTGAAACACTGTGAAACACAGTTTTGGCATTATCTGGCTTGAATATTGCTAAAACTGGCAGAACACCATGCATTAGGCAGTAAGGCTTTCAGTACCCTGGTGTCTTATTACAGTGATGAATATGTTCACCATTCCATCATTGCCCTTGTACTCCTTCCACATTAAGCTGACACAAACACAATTATTCAAACAGCGTTAAATCAGCATCTCTGTCCTATCGTTTGGTGACTCAGCAGTTCTGTATCCAAGGACAACGATTTATCCGACCACAGAATGATATGAGTATATATTAGTAAGATGCAATGCTATATTAACTTTAAATTCATCCATGCCACCCCTAACATGTTCATGTAGTTTGTGTCCTGTACACATCATTGACTTTCTCAAATAACCTAGCCATCCTTTCAGCTTGTCTATAGAAACTAGAGCTGTATAAATGAATACTGCATTAGGACATGAACATAACAAATATTCATATTGATCTTGCAAATAATATGTGCCTCTCCATGTTAATGTTTTGGCAACAGGTGGCCTCATATCATCATAACCTATATTGTATCCCCTAAACACTGGGTCATTTATGATATCACATGAGACCACTTATCCTCTAGTCTGAAGCCTTTGACAAGTAAAATGTCTTATGGTCAACTGGTCCATATACAGAGACTAACATCTACTGAAAATAATGCCAAAATAGTTCAGGCCAGTAGACTCAAATGTTTGGGTCTCAAACTGTCATATTTAAATTATCCAATTGTTTTCCCAAGTTTCAAGTTTGAATGCACATCTATATATTTAATAGCATGTTATGCCAATATACTGGTTCTGAATTATGCAAAAAAATGTTCATAAAGTAACTTGGTGTTAAAAGATTATATTTCATATGATGTTGTCATTTTAGTATCTGGATTTATACACTCATAAAGGGATACCATAATGTTGTGACTTCTGTATTGGATAACAGACAATATTGCACCACGTTACACAACCAGGCTTGCAGGCTGGCACTTCTCCATGGCAATATGCCTCAGTACTGCAGTGCCGGACCGTATTCCACCTCTAGAGACACTAAAACTTCCTTATAAGGTCAAACTATTGATTACCATGGTGACTGATAGCATTTAGCAGGAGTCCCTTCAGACCAGGAGACCGATCTGTCTGAGCTGCCCCAGAATGCAAGCTGCTAATATCCATTGGGATATTTCCACATCAGCAGAATTTGCATGTTTTCAATTCCCCCACAGTGAACTTCACTTTCTAAAGTAATAAATGTTGGGGAAAATTGGAGCATAGAGGATTACTTCCCTCATGCCAGATTGTGATCTGTTCTGTTCATGGACACTGAAAGACGTTACTGTAGAATATAATAGCTGTCCGGGGAAAGGGTTTAATGGGACAGTGGGTACAGCAGACATTGTACATTAATTATGCTGGAGGAGATGCATGTTACATGGCATTGGTAAAGCTGGGGGTGAAGTTGTATGATGGTCGTTTTAGATCATAAGTGTTTTCCTTGCTGGAACTTATGACAATAGACCCGTGAAGATCCGGGGAAGAATAAGTCTTCAGCAACCTGTGCTTGCCGTAAAAGGTGACAATGCTTGTCGTAAAAGGTGACTAACGGGATCGGGTGGTCAGGCTCGCTGACTTGGTTGACATGTTATCGATCCCAATTGTGTGGATCGATGCTCATGCTATTAATCACCAGATTGTTTGGTCCGGACTCGATTATTAACAGACCGCCGTCATATAGCTGGAATATTGCTGAGTGCGGCGTTAAACAACCAACCAACCAACCAACCAACCAACCATCCAACTTATGACAATATTAGTGTTTTACTTGCTGAAACATGACATGAGTGTTTCACTTACTGAAACATGTGATAGCTTGATCTTTGGTTTGTTATTGTCTGTACTCATGCTTGTTGATTATACATTAGATTTGGACCTAGTCTAGTACCTATATCATTTCTCATACACTTATGTGACACGCCATGATACAAAGCAGCATTTAATCCATCTCTCTCATTCTATCTGCTCCCATGTGAAATTTCCTATGTTTTACAGTTTGCCTATATTTGTTCCATTATCCGGACAACAGCTGTGAAAGATCAGACAGTTTCTCTTCTGTTGATATCGCATATAATCAGTCATAATTTGTTCTATTCAACAGAATCTGGTCAAAAACTTCGACCAGGACATGGAAACGCTGACTAGACAGCAGAAGCAGCAAGTTGAGAAGGCCGAGTTGGCCCAGTCCAACGACATGAAGAATGCTGCCCGCAAGATCAAGACAGAACAGGTACAACACAGTAGCCACTAACCCAAGGCCGACCCGGGGTGAAATTGGCTTCAGTAACCTATCTGAGTCAACTAATATGGATTTGATGGTCAGGCTCTTTGACATGGCTGATTGCATGTCATACTACCATGATGGAGAGGATTGTTGCTCATGCTTTCAGTCACTGGTTTGCCTGGTCCAGGCTGCTATGATGCTTGATTATTACTAACTGTGGTGCGTAAATGAAGCCCTTGGCTTGTGAGGCAGCATAGTGGTTAAGTAATAAAGACCCATGTTCGATTTTGAAAATACAATATGTGAAGTGTTTTCCTGATGTCCCTTACTGTGGTAGGGCTCAAATACTGCAGAGGTGGCATAACACCTTACTCCGTCAAACAATCACACTCTCACTCCGAAGCCAAAGTCTAGAGAACTATTTTTCTGTCCAATGAGCTATGCTACTGATAGCCCATACAGTAACATTAAAATCTGATGAAAATGATGTGAACAGGAAAGTTGGTGCCCAGTGAATCATTAGTCATACATAGTACTTGCTCCAACATGTGTCTGGGGAGTAACTGTAGAATGGATGTGTTAAGGTGTGAATTTTATTCCTCTGCAAGTTTAACTGGTTCATTAACCTTTGTTTATCGATGAGAAATACAAGTCAAGCACCATTTGATGACTATATGAACAGTCTGTGACTTTAGCCACTAGTTTGAAGCCTAAGTCTAGTAAAATGCTTTTGGGTCTAGTGAGATCAGCTAATAAAAATCCATAAAAGACTGAAATGGATGAAGATATGATGCAGAGTTCCAAGTTGGGGCTTGCAGACTCCAAAGTATTTGGCACAGACTGTATGATTGTGAAGGAGTGTAAGATTGAGGTATTCAGTGTTTGCTGGTGATTGCAGGAGAAGGAAGTGAAGATCTTCAAGGAGCAAATGAAGCAGGAGCTGAAGCTGCTGAAGCAGGAGATGGACCTCCTGCCCCGAGATGGCAAGAAAGAAGCCATGCGCAAGCGCAAGGAGGCCAAGGAAATAGAACTTACAGACAAGGTGTGTAGGGAAGACCTTAGAATTTCTGAACAATTTCCCCAGCCCAGAAATTGTACTTGACATGGGTAGTAGGATATGAGTGAAAGGAAATAAAGTAGCACATCTTTTTTCAATGGATACTAGTACCTTTCAGAGAGAGGATCAGTTATAAGAAATGTCCCTGTATGATGTCAAATGGACAGCTGATGATGATGTTAATGTCTTTCCTGGTTGGTTGTCCCATAAATATGCTGACTTGTGATCAGGGGATGGTGATGTTGTTGATGTTGATGTTGTAGGAGCGGTTGTTCTTGGAGAACCAGCAGGAGAGGATGGAGAAGCATATGAAGCAGCTCGGAGACCAGCACAGACAGAAGATAGCCCTCCTGGAGAGCCAGTTCCTCCAACAGAAGCAGCAACTGCTCCGAGGTAGGGAGGGACACCTTGTATAGACCTGGGGTAGGGAGGTACACCTTGTATAGACCTGGGGTAGGGTGGAACACCTTGTATAGACATGGCATAGGGTGGGACACCTTGTATAGACCTGGGGTAGGGAGGAACACCTTGTATAGACCTGGGGTAGGATGGAACACCTTGTATAGACCTGGGGTAGGGTGGAACACCTTGTATAGACCTGGGGTAGGATGGAACACCTTGTATAGACATGGCATAGGGTGGGACACCTTGTATAGACCCTGGGTAGGGAGGAACACCTTGTATAGACCTGGGGTAGGATGGAACACCTTGTATAGACCCTGGGTAGGGTGGAACACCTTGTATAGACCTGGGGTAGGATGGAACACCTTGTATAGACATGGCGTAGGGTAGAACACCTTGTATAGACATGGCATAGGGTGGGACACCTTGTATAGACCCTGGGTAGGGAGGAACACCTTGTATAGACCTGGGGTAGGGTGGAACACCTTGTATAGACCTGGGGTAGGTTGGGACCACTTGTATAGACCTGGGGTAGGGTGGAACACCTTGTATAGACCCTGGGTAGGGAGGAACACCTTGTATAGACCTGGGGTAGGGTGGAACACCTTGTATAGACCTGGGGTAGGGTGGAACACCTTGTATAGACATGGCGTAGGGTGGAACACCTTGTATAGACCTGGGGTAGGGTGGAACACCTTGTATAGACCCTGGGTAGGGAGGAACACCTTGTATAGACCTGGCGTAGGGAGGGACACTGGAAAGACACTGTATTTTACTGATTGCAGCCCTTATTATGAACTTTGTTCTGTCAGCATCATGCACAGCTCTATCTGGCTTGCATCAAATTGCTACACGTCAATGACCTATGCTTTACTCCCACATTAAGCTGAGACACAAACAATGTCACTTTAGTAGCAATAAGCCCACACACTCTTGTAATGGCAGACATTTGGGGACATTGATAGATTGTTTTCCAAAATGTCAATAAGAATATATTTTCAAATGAGACTGTAGAATGCTCTTAAGATCATTAGTGAAAAATCATAGAAATTTCTTATAACAACCTCCGCTTCTTTGTGTCTAGCAAAACCGTTCATAGCCACACATGAGATCCATCAACAGAGATGTTTTTAACGGTCTGGATTGAAACATGTTGATCTTGAAACTGGAGTGATCCATGAAGTGATCACCATGAACAATATTATTACAACAACGTGTAGATATTCATTTTGGAAATGTCTGAAGCAATTTACTCTGTTCTCCATATGGTGACATCATTAGGCACATTTAAAGATGTCGGCACCAAGGACTTGTTATTGACTTCCGTAATGATTAGTCAATACAACACTTGGTCTTCTGTATAATCTGGTTAAGTAGAGCAAAAGCACCACAATCAATAGGGTCAGCCTCTGAATATCACACTTGTGTGGAACTTGTGGATCTTATGAAGACATGCCCATCAATATGTATAATAACTGGATCTGGTGGTCAGGCTTGGTAACTTAGTTGAAGCATTTCATCGTATCCCAATTGTGTAGACAATGTTCATGATTATCTGGTCAAGACTCAATTTTTTTCAGACCGCCGTCATATGAATTGAATATTGCTGAGTGTAACATTTAAAACAAATAGCATGATAAGAGTGTTGCATGTGTGTATGACCATTACACGTTGTTGTGGTTGTTCCAGCTCGGGAGGCTGCTATCTGGGAGATGGAGAAGGAGCAGCTTCACGAGAAGCACCAGCTGGCCAAGGGGCAACTGAAGGAGATGTTCTTCCTGAAGAGGCATCAGATGCTCACTCGGCATCAGAAGGTATGTAGGCAGGGATCTCATAGATGGGATCAGAGGGTGTGTAGGCAGGGATCTCATAGATGGGATCAGAGGGTATGTAGACAGGGATCTCATAGATGGGATCAGAGGGTGTGTAGACAGGGATCTCATAGATGGGATCAGAGGGTATGTAGGCAGGGATCTCATAGATGGGATCAGAGGGTATGTAGGCAGGGATCTCATAGATGGGATCAGAGGGTGTGTAGGCAGAGAGCTCAGATCGTAGGTGTATTCAGATATTTTCAGATATTCTTCAGAACGTATGTAGGCAGGGGTCTTTTGAAAAGATGTTAGAGGGTATTCAGGCAGGGATCTCATGGATCAGCATAAAAGTCAGGGAACGCATACCATTCACAATTATGTTTCATTACATGGAAAGTAGCAAGAGGTGTAACTGTTGGTGATGTGGTTGCAGGAAATCGACCAGATGAAGCGCTACAACTCGGCGAAGGAAGAGGAGATGAAGGAGCGCCATGCCCTGGAGAAGCGCCGACTACCCAAGATCCTCAAGAATGAGGCAAAGACCAGACAACAGATGTTTAAACAGAGTCTCAGGCTCAGCACAATATCTACACCTGAAGACGACAAGATGAAGATTAAACAGGTCAGACATCATTGCAGACTACAGAAATATAACAATGCCATGTAATAAGTAAATCCTTTACTGTTTCTATTGGAATGGTACCATCTGGATTGACACTGTGTCTAGGGAACTCTTAATCTTGTATCTTATTGGCAAGATAATATTTGCTCATTCAGCAGCCTATGACCTTGTATAATAATTATGAATAGGATATTTTATTTTGGTCTTTCGTGAGCTTACAATTTGTGTATATGAAGTCTTGTAGCATATTAGGCTAAAAAAATAAAAATAGTCTTATTTCTCAGGCACCGCCTGCATCATCATACAGTTCACCACACGTTTCGTTTTTATTGCCATTTTTTTTTTTTTAAACAAAAATCCTTAAATATTCCACGTTCAACATTAGTCAAATACTGTATTCCAGTATTTTACTCATCAAGGAATACATTTATATAGGGAGGCCCTTTCCCAGGTTGATTGTACACAATTGTTTATTGATTACACATCTGTTTATTGGTTACATACTAGTTTGAACAACAACATAAAAAACACAAAAGACACTGCCCGCCCACACTATATTTTCAAAAAACATTTCCTGAGAACAATGTCTTTTATTATTTTAAGCCTAAGTGTTATTATGTAGACTATTATCAGTTGAACTTACTAGACCAAACTGAATTTTAATGTGCAATCAATGTCTTAATTGATGCTGTCTGCATTTTCAGTTTGAGGAGAATGAGAAGAAGAGAATGAAGGCAGAACAACAAAGGCAGGAGTCGAAGCACAAGAAACAGTGGGACGACCTTGTGTTCCGTAATGAGACCGCCCTCAAGGAGCTGGAACAGCTGCAGGTAGGCACAGGCAACTACAGCTTTACTGTCGGATTACATGGAATGTCCAACCTCCGTATTTACTACCATGCCAGTGTCATCTGTATTTGTTACTTAATATTTAGCCACTGATATGGCTGTTAAAGGGAGATAACTCATCAATCTTAGATGATGTCTTGCTGTGCATCTTGGTGTTGTTCATGCCATTAATAGACTGAAAGAGGAAGTTGGGAGGCACTAATTTCTTCTTTTGTTAAGATTCAAAATAGCGAAGCTAAATCGTGTAAAGTATGCCAATAAAGTAGACTCCTTGTTCGTGATGTTTATTAAGATATCATTGAGAGATTAAGGCATTGTTGTTGATGTTGTAGGCTGAGAAGAGGAAGATGTTGATGGAGCAGGAGACGTTGAAGATCAAGGAGGTGGAGAAACAGTATGACTTAGAGCTCAAAGACTGGAAAGCACAGCTTGTGCCTAGAAAACAGGTAATATGTCTTGGCCTCATGGGGGGCGGGATTCGGAAAGCCTAATGGTTAAAGCGTTAGCTCGTCACGCCGAAGAAACGGGTTCGATTCCTGATACAATGTGTGAAGCCCATTTCTGTTGTTCCCCGCCGTGATATTGCTGGAATATTGCTAAAAGCGGCGTAAAACAATACTCTCCCATTGGGTTTACGGGTCAGAATAACAACCACAGCATGCTTGTTGTATGAGCTGAGGATTTAATGAGAATCACATGTTTTTTGTGTGGTTGTGGCATGACAGATTAATTATACAGTGTTTGTGTTTACGGCGTCCCATATACAAAAATATGCACTGAAAAAAAATAGGACGCAAAAAAACCAACCTTCACGCGTCCCCTTACGCGTTTTTTATTTTGAAAAAAGTTCACTTCACGCATAACTTATTGTTGTTTTGTTTCGTGTTTCTCTCGCTCCCAAAACACATGTGATAATGTGTATCCAATATTCGCTGGGTTCTGGTGCAAGCCAGATTTCGGCGGGAAACTGAGAGGTATCCGATGACGTTTCTCTTCCATGTCGTGTCCCTAATGGCATCGCTGATTGGTTTACAAAACAGAAATAGACACGTAAGCCAATCGCAGACCATGTAAACAGTATTTTGTCAATGTCAAGGACTAAAGTCCAAATGGCATCCCCGAAACTTTGTCAAAAGAAAAATAGGTTTCAAGAAAGTTTGCTTGAAGAGCTAATATACTCTTTCAACACTGTAGGCCGGTAGACCAGCCATGTCGTAGTCACGTCAAAATAAAGGGTAGATCTAGATCTATATAATTTTATGAACCTACCTGTCATATCATTCATTTATTAAATCAATCACATTTCACAATGTCTGAAATACGTATTCCATTTCAATTTATCATTTTTTATCGAAAGATTAAATGATTCACTATTTCCCGCGATGTTATTGAAAATAAAATTCTCAGACACACACTTCAACAACGGGCCACATCGAACATGTCAAGGAGCAAAACATACAAAAGTATACAAAGTAATAAATAACATCAACCAAAATATATCTATAAGTTGTCGAAATTACAGCTAAGTTATTATTTCAATCTTTTCGTGCGATCGTGTATAATGTAAATCAAATGACATCTCGGCTTTCGTCGCCTCGATTTCTCGGCTCGGATACGATGTTTCCAATATGCCTGAAAAACCTTTGTCACAGCTCCTAACCTAGAACGTTTCAGTTCAGAATAACAAAAAACTTTCGTCAAAATCTTTGATTACACACGTGCCATTGCTGTAATTTGATTGACAGCCTTAGGTCATGTACTCTAGTTTGACCAATCACCACCCTCGTAGCAGATATCGGCAAGAAAGCACGTGACAAACTTACAGTGACGAAAAGACTTGGTGAGGTTAGTGTAGATGAAAAAATAAACTTACTAATACGAAGCTTCGAAAACAGACGTATTTCTTCATGTTACTGACAGCCGCAGGTATCGAGAAATTGGTGATGACAGATACTATTATTTATAAAATACTTTTCCGATCAGGTAAACAATGAAAATAAAAAAGAAATAGGTAAGTGGATTTTATATGTTTGTTTATATTTGAGAAAAATCGTCAAATTTACCCTTCCTTGGTCCTCAATCTGGACGTTTGAATGTGTTAGCTTACATTTGTTTTTATTTACAACTTACTTAAGTTGTAAATGCTTTATTTAAATAATGTGATAAACATAAATGTGTATAAACAGTAGGATTAGACCTTTCAAATGGTGTATAACATGTAGTTGCAAAGATGTTTTACTAGACTAACATTTAGTCTATGAAATCTTATATTACACAATACCCTTCTCGACTCTAAAAATAATTTCCCCTTTGCTGATTTCCTAGCTAGAGCTGGCTTGACTTGCTTTTGTATACGTTTCTAGATTGATGTTGTTTTCACAAAATATATATATTCCACAGTCATAGGTTCAGGACTAATGTTTTACAAGCAGATATTTTCCTTGATAAATGTTGGCTTAATCTATCACACAAGAGTCTCTGGGAACTTGGTGTCACAGCAGATAAAGCTCCTGGTTGACTGGTGTTGAAAGAGCCAAGTGGTTAATCTATGAAGATTTCAAAGATGTTTTGTGTACACACATAAGAACTGAGACTTAAAGATTTTAACCACACACTTATTTATGCTCAGAATGGCCTAAAGTTCACCATTTCAGGTCCACATTTAACAAAATTTCTTGGGGGGGCATGCCCCCAAACTCCCCTAGATAGCTTCGCGCCTACCGCACTCGCGGCTACCGCGTCACAGGGGACACCATTATTTGGAACACAACGCAAACACTGTTATAGGAATATGTAAAAGGATCATTTTTTTATTAGAACATGACAAATTGAACATGTGTGTTCATTACAAGGTCAATTGTTTTATTTTATACAAACAATGTTTTATTGTGTTGCCTGTACCTTTCAAAATACTCACTGCAGGAATGTTTCCATTGTAGAAACTGGAGGAAGAGTTTTCCAGACAGCGAGATGAACAGGAAAAGTTTTATGGTGCATACGTAACAGGAGATATAGATGGCCACCCACCCTATTCCCGCTCATCGCAGGGTAGTGTTCGCAGCCGAGAGGACACAATGCGATCAAGACACTCCACAGTGATATAGTTCCGACCATAGGGACATTGGTCACACTTACTTACATTCTGTGATGGGACAAGCATATACTGGCAGCACAGCCACATGGGGGGAATCAAGGGAGGTTACTCTGCAGGGCCCTTTGTTCTGCAGATTCTTTAGCTGAAATATTTCCTGGTGGATTAGCAGAGTTGTACTTACCTTGTGATGTGACAGTGCTGAAGTGACTATACAGTGTGTGGAGTTGATCTAGATGCTGCAGCCGGGCTTCAGCTTGATGCTGATGGCAGGACTCCTTGCAGATCTGATCGAGACATATGGTGCTGCAATACTGGTGCAGCTGCATCGTTGCATGGAGACAGTTCAGTGCACCAGACCAAGGGTCTTGATGTTGATCAATATGATTCAAGTGCTGGACATTGGTGCATCCCGAGAATGAGAACTCAAGACTTGAGTCGGAGTGATGAAGTATCATCTCCTGGTGCGCGAAACACTGTTAACCCTTTCACTGCTAACAATGAGTACTCCTAATGTCACACTATGTGTATTAAGTATTCACATATTGTGCACTATATGCTTTCTGTATAAGACTGAATTGTTAAAACGTAAATCACTGTAACCTAAGATTTAATATTTGGACAAACTAACTTCATAGTCTACATCTATTGGCTTGTGTTAGTTGGTAGACACCTGGCTACTTTCTATAAATGCATGTGAGAGATGACACGAGAGAAGCCATGTAGACCAGAGCCAAGGGGTATGTACGAGTCCTGATTTAGGGCTGGTGATAGTGATAAACATGGCGGTGTGTTGCACAGTGTTCAATCATTGCTTCCAGAAACCAGGAGAAACATTGTTACAATCTGTATATGTTGTCATCTCCATGGTTACGAGGACTCGGCCAATGTAAGGCTTGCAGATGTCCTATAATGCTATTGAATAAATATACTTAACTTTTATTATACACCATGAATTAGTATGTATATAAGGTAGACTTGAAGACTGTTTGTAGAACCTATTATTTTACTCAGAAAAAGAAAATTATCACCATATCCACTTGGTGCAGGAATTTATGCTGGAAAAAGTAGAAGGTCAATGTCGCAAACATATTGTAAATATTGAAGTAATGGTTTTGAGAGTGTGACTTTGACAAGGACTCAGTGAAGATTCTGTTTTTGATGTTGACCTGGATGACAAACGTATTGTGAGTTTCTTCTCATAGTTGATAATTACAGGGTTTAAGAACAGTTTTGTGGTATGTTGATGGTAGAGTTTTGAACAGACAGCACACCAGATCAGTTTTTGTCATGAACAAATCAACATATTGTGATGAATCAATGTGGAATAATACTTTAGTTTGTTCACTTCTTTCAGTGTTGAAACACTGCGTACACAACTCTCTCACACAACTCTCCCACGGGCCGCTGTTCCTCAAAACTACTTATATAATGTGACATTCATACAAGCACTCTCCAAAAATGTTTAGACGCACCAGGGCTGTGGGATCACTTTAAGATTTTCATGAGAACCTTTGTTAAACGAAGGGATCAGTTTAAAGTTTTATACAGGATAAATAATTTAATTGTGAAATTATTGATGTCCTCATAAACATTATTTTGTCTATTGTGACTAATAGATCGAAACTGTGCGGGTTGTTTCTCGATCTTCCAAGTTGAGTATATTTGCTCCAACTCATCATTTTCAGAGAATATTTTTGATGATTAGAGCTGTTATTTATCAACTTCAATCCTGAAAAGTTTGGGGTTTTTTTACATGGAAAACTTGCAGACCTGTTAATCTACACCCCAAAATTAAAATTATTATCAACATCAAACTTTGGAACTGGCCCAAATCATACCAGCCCAAAATCAAGTTTACTAGAGCTATGCTAAAGACAAGTCACAGACTCATGCATATATCCGTAAAGGAAACAGTTCATGTTTTGGAATAAAATAAATTACAATTTAAGGAAATAGCATTTAGTGACATTTTGGTTTTTGCCATAGGTAGAGTGGTGTCCGAGAGTTTGTGTTTTTATCATTAGTCCATGTGACTGTACACAGATACATGCAGTTAGCACAACATTGTCCTTCAGGCTTAAAATTACAAACAGAGCTGGTATATATTGTGTATGGTGCAAATTATAAACAGACCATTGGCAGTCCACAGAAAATGGATCTTGGAAATGATTACATTTGAGGTTTTTAAAATTTTAGAAATCGCCATCTGGAAATTATTTCTCCAGAAGCTGGTATGTATGTCCCTGGTCCTATATCTTCTTTAAATTACATATGCAGTCTTTCAGATTTGTTTTTAAAAATAACTTTTTCAAGCTTTTATTTCCAAATTTCCTCCTTGATCAATATCTATAGGTTGCATGACAAGGTTAAACAGAATTTGCACCATCCACTTCAATTAGAAACCATTTGGGAGTTTGTGCAATTACTTCTGCTTGTAAGGAGAGTGGCCGTTTATGATGTGCTGTTTGTAATTTTACGTTCTGTCGTACCTGTACAGATGTTATATGTGGATATAGTATCTGAAGTGTGATTACTTCACAATATTTATGTTTCAGGGTTTTCTAAAGAGCTTGCTTTGTACAGAAATTTGCACTGGCTTGGAAACTTTCTCTCTATAAAACTTTTGATTTTCAGAGGGGAGGATGTTCTCTAAGTGCTCCTGTCTGCCTCTCCCTCTTGTTGTATGACCTAAATAGAAGATTTCAAAACCTACCTGGAGTATCAGAGGCTCGCACAAATGGACATTGCACCTATGATTCCAATAATTCCTCTTCATTCACATACCAACAAACCTTCATTGCAGTACGAACATTATTAGAAGTCCAATATTTTTTTCAAAAACTTGTATGTTCAGTCATCTGCATGATATGAAAAACCTCTTCTTGGGTCATACTGAACTGGATGAATGCAAAGTCTGTATTGGCATTTAAGAGCTGTAGAATCAATGAAGACAGGGTTGAGTTCTGATATCACCTGTAGTCTTTATGTATGTTTCAGTACCGACACTAATACCTTTTTACCAAGCTAGCAAGTCACAAGAGTTAACCCATCTTTAATATTTCGATCAAAATTAGGACTACAGAGTTGTGGTGGCTTAGATTTTACAGCTGTTTCAAGGCATAGGAGATGTCAGTCAAGGTGCTATGATTGTTTGTGCCGGATCCCTGATACATTCAAGGTATTATTGTTTGGTTTCTGTTGAGTCTGCAGCATCTCTTATTTCGCTGACATTTAGTTGCATTATATTATTTGTTTTAAAAGGAGAGATGTGTTTAAATGTATCATGAAATTGATGTCCTGTTCATAATATTAAACCCCTCTTCCCAGGAGCCATATTGAATAAGTTAATAAGCTCAATATGAAATTGGTCCAAATTGTATTTCAGAGTATGTCATATCTCAGAAAACACTGATTGGTTTCATATCTTCATATTACCAACAAAATCGTTCAAGCTTGGGATTTTGAAAAGGGTATTATGGTCATTGGAACTCATCAGAATTCCAACTGTGTCTGTTTTCAGTGCTACGAGATCTTACAACAGTATGTCGGAATACAGAACAGTGCATAGAGAGGCTTATTTGTGTATTGTCACGTTCCCATCAAAGTTTACAGTATTTAGTAATAGACATTATTACTTAGCCATTACAGTACCATATCAAGTATCACGCATCATTGTTACAATGTTCCCACATAACACAGAGTATACTAATGTTGAGAACAGGGAATATTAGAGTTATCTTCCAGTTAATAATGAATGCCAACAGGAAGAGACACTGTGCGATACGAGGAGGCACAATTTTAACACATACTGGAACATGCTAAAGAAGTGTTTTCAGTCTTGTAGGGTTCCATTTTATATCCAAACAGTTGCTCATTTGTTCATTTTGAAAGATTCACATAATCCCATTCAGGTACTTTGCACTTCAATTTTCTTGCCAACTATCAGTAGGTAGTGTTTTGGATTGGACTTAGAAATTAGACTTTCTTGTGTTAATTTTTGAATTTGTGTGGGAAATAGTATCAGCAGTTTTCCTGTTCGTGCAATTGGTTTTTATTCAACCTGAGTAAATTTCGAAGTGTTTGCATCTGGTGAACATGACACGAGTTATTGAGAACTGTTTGCATCTGGCGAACATGACACAAGTTATTGATAACTGTTTCCTAAACTGTACATTTACACAGAGGGTTATGTATACACAAAGAAAATCTGTATAAATTACGTAGAGCTGAGCTGATTTGTATAAAATGAGTCGTCCGTGGAGAGGACTTTTCCCTGGTTTTCATACTCAATTCTCAGCACATCATACTTTGTGATATATGCAAACTATGCTTGCTATTTATAGTTTGAAATCTTTGTCTTTTACTGTAAAAATGTACCTTAAGGATTCACCTGAATATAATGTATAATATATAGAATCAAAGTAAAGTCAATCAAATAACACCAGCATCCTGTTTTCATTTCTGTTGTTGGTTTTTAACGCTGCACTTGGCACTGTACCAGCTATTTGATGGCTGTTTGTACATGATCGAGTCTAGACCAGACAATCCAGTGATGACCTCATGAGCATCATTCTACACATTTAAGATATGAAGACATCCAACAGCCATTAAGTCAGCACAACCCATGCTTCCCGTAAAGGGCGACTATGCTTGTCGTAAGAGGCAACTAACGGGATCGGGTGGTAAAGCTTGTATCCTAATTGCATGGATCAATGCTCATGATGTCAATCACTGGATTGTCTGGTCCAGACTTGATTATTTACAGACCACCGCAAATAGCTGGAATATTGCTGAGTGTGTCGTTAAACAACAAACAAACAAACAAACATTAAGTCAGCGAGCACTACCACCCAATCCCAATAGTCACCTGCCATGGGTTGACTAGTCTGGATCTTCATGGTATTCATTTTTGTACTCAAGGACATATGGTGAGATGCTAGATGCCAGGCAGTAGCTAGCATTACCAGGAATGGGCTCCAGATATTGATGATAATGATGATGATGATGAAGAAAATCAAACTTGCCATTGGACCAATCACAGAGCCTTCAAACAAGAAAATGAATGAAGAAGTGATACAGCACATAACGAGCCATATTCAGTAAGCCAGTGCTGATTTTCAAAGCTTGACTTTAGGATCGGCTGTTTACACTGAAGACTTGGTTGGAACGTGGATAATGTGTGCAGCCCATGTCTTGTGTCCATGACATATTACATTAATATCGTAACAGTTAAGGAATGTATTTTGTAGGTATCCTAGCTCCAACCTGTGTTATCTTCTTCACATGTCATAACACAGAACTAAAATACATGAGTGGGGCATCAAAATTGAAAAATATTTTATTTAACTAATTTGGCCACAGCTGGAGTACAACTAAGGTCAGTGTTTTATTTATGGAACGAGCATAAAATGCTCATATTCCTTCTCAGTAGGGGGTGTTACTGTGAGAAGATGACTGGGAGCTGTGGCTGTCATTGGATACACTGGGTTTTTCAATTCCTTTTAATGGAATTAACTTTCAAACATACAAGTAAACACTTAACCACTTGATAGGTGAAGAAATACAAATGGGTCATTAATGGTCCATTGACTGGAATATTTTGTCAAGGACACCAGAATACACAGCAAAAGGCACCAGTTCATTGCCAGACATATCTGCACAAAATTTTATCAAGATATATTTAACCGTTTTTGAGTTGTACTCTGAAAACAAACTCTACCCTCAAATTTGTTTGAAACAAGGGATTATAAAAAAATAATTCAAAATGCCTAGAGAGTAACAAACACCCAGTTCATGACAGGGCTGACATATGTGCAAAGATTTATCAAGATATGCACGATCAACAAAATGGCAAGGGATAATAACCTATCTATTCAGCAAACTCCTGGTATTATCCCCTACTGCACTTGGACCTTCAACAAGCATAATGAAAATTGATTAGGCTTCCGAATTTGTACTCTTTATCATTTACTTCATTGACTGGTATTGTTTACTTCAACATTAAAAAATATAATATCAAAGTACATTGTATGTGTAATATATTCGCGGTGTATGTGTGGAAAGACGTGTGGGCCAAGGGAGATCACTCTTAATTTCAGGTCTGTCTACTTCAATGGTGGTCAGTAAAGAGCTCATAATTATATCCATTTGGCGACGAATGTACATTCGTGTATAGTGGTTGACTTAAATGCAACAATACATAAATACCGGATATTTTCAAAAACAAATCAAAGTATATTTTAGGGATTGGGCAGACACAATGTAAAACAAAACATGTATGGAGTACAGTGAACGTTTTGGAGAGTATATATGCGTCTTTGGAGAGTGCAAGTTAACAGCCCTGTCAAGTCATAGCAGCGTTCAGAATTCGCGCTAGTCCGGTAGACCTTGACTACTGAACTGTACTGCAGACAATTAACATTCATACTGGCCTGCTTGTACCACATGTTCACGTGTTTGTTCAGGTGAATATTTGACTTACCTTTGCATGTGTTTGTGACGGGTGGGACAGGGTACGCCCACTATTTCGCGAACACCTGGTATCATCACTCTTAAACTATTCAGGGGATTCATCTCAAACTTAGTACATATAATCTGTGTCATATGGAGGGGTGCAGTCAAAAGAAAAACATTGTTTTTATTAATTTCCCAATTTTTTTATGAATTTTTCAAACCCTAATGTCCGTCTGAAAACTTTGTCGGCGCGATTTCTCTTAAACTTTTCAGTGGATTCATCTCAAACTTAGTACATATAATATGTGTCATATGAAGGGGTGCAGTCAAAAGAAAAAGAATTGTTTTTATCAATTTTCCATTTTTTTAAGGAATTTTTCAAACCCTAACGTCCGTCCGAAAACTTTGTCCGCGCGATTTCTCTTAAACTATTCAGTGGATTCATCTCAAACTTAGTACATATAATCTGTGTCATATGAAGGTGCAGTCAAAAGAAAAAAAAATGTTTTTATTAATTTTCCATTTTTTTATGAATTTTTCAAACCCTAAGTTGGCTAACCCTATCCTAGCTATTTAATTTGTAACTACTGACACACTAGGTGGGTCGGGGGTATTAGTGAGCCACGCTCACTTTTGCACTTGTTTCTTTTGCATTTTGAACATTTTATACGTGTTTTTTTCTAATTTTCATTTGTAAATGCAATAACGAGTAATACATACAAAAATATACTCGAATCTCGGAATTACTGATGTGAAAAGAACTGTTGCTAGGTCCTGCACGTGTTCCCTTAATGTCCTTCTTTGGACATTAATGATTAAAAATTACCTTCTCTTATACATTTGTCCGTTGTATATCATATATGGGATTACTTTTAAAAATGTGAAGTTTTTAATTTGACTCAGTATATATATATATATATATATATATATGGACTTGTATGCTTATGTATAACGTTATACATTCAGAAAACAATGACCCGTGAAGATCCGGGGGAGAATAGGTCTTCAGCAACCCATGCTTGCCGTAAAAGGCGACTATGCTTGTAAATAGTCGTAAGAGGCGACTAACGTGATCGGGTGGGCAGGCTCGCTGACTTGGTTGATTCATGACATCGATCCAAATTGCGTGGATGCTCATGTCAATCACTGGATTGTCTTGTCCACACTCGACTATTTACAGACCGCCGTCATATAGCTGGAATATTGCCGAGTGAGGTGTTAAACAAACTAACTAACATCATAATTGAAACTGTAAGCAGCAGGATACAATGATGCAAGTACCTATATACTGTGAAAAAGCGCACATGCGTAACCCAGAAGATAAACAAATTGTAATTTGCACGTGGTATCTTCAGAATCGGGAATGAGAAGGTATACTAGCGGGTATAGGGGTAGATGTTGGCTGTGCACATACTATAGCTTTCGTAGAGATAACACACAATTACATGATTTCATAAACTCAAGGACATAAGAAACGTCACGTAGTATATTTTCAAAGACAAAAAATAAGAAAGCTATATTTTTAACGGTGATTGTATTTTAAACAGGGTAATTTTACAACGTGTTTGCATAAACTCTGACAAATCCAGCGGATGTTTTGCGAAGAAGGTTAACTGTCCAATAGTCGATCACCAATAAAAATGCGCCGCCACTTTCAAAATGTTCGAAAAGGCAACTATCCAGTTAATATCGGGTGTGTTCTCCCCCATCTTCGATTCAGGCTCCGACACGGCGCCGAGCAGAGGAAGTTAGTTGTCTAATGGCGTGCACAGGTATCGGACGCAATTCTGCCTGCAATGCCAGTGCTAACGCCAATTGTCTCTAGCCGTGGCTGACGTTGCCTAATCTGTCGTCCCAGGTGGTCCCACAAATGTTCTACTGGAGACATGTCAGGACCTCCTGCCGGGCAAGGAAGAAGGTCGCGTTGTTGGCGTTTAACTTGCGAATGCATGTACATACCATACAATTTGTTGTTTTTTTGTTTGTTTGTTGTTTAACGCTGCATTCAGCAATATTCCAGCTACATGACGGCGGTCTCTAAAATAATCGAGTCTGGACCAGACAATCCAGTAATTGACATCATGAGCATCGATCCACGCAATTGGGATCGATGACATGTATCAACCAAGTCAGCGAACCTGACCACCCGATCCCGTTAGTCGCCTTTTACGGCAAGTATTGGTTGCTGAAGACCTATTCTAACCCGTAATCTTCACGGGTCAGGTCACATACCATACAAAGTACATACAAAATACTTATGCATTCAGTAAACGTTCCATGCCAATCACTTCTTTGTTTTGATATGATATGTGATTTTTATCCAATCACATGACAAGAGCGCCTCCTCAAGTTCACCTGTGTCACTTGTGGATTTCAAAGTGCTGAAACATGTTTTTACTGCACTGCCTTCTACATATAGTTGAAGCAGTTCCCTGACTCTTGACACTTTAGTGTAAATTTGGTTTTAAGGGTGGTGAGAATGTTCTTTGATTTTTGCCTCATTTTACAGAAATCACACTTAAATGTGAGTGAGACTGGTTCATTGGGAATTGGCGAATGGCAGTTAGAACACATATTTGTCTTTGTGACCTGTATTTTCTATTGTTCCTGTTGCCATGGTTATGCGGACTGTATGATGTGTGGTGTTATCTTGCTTGAATAACGTTTGTGGGTGGCGTTAAAGAAATGGCGATACAAGTGTTGTTGACACTTAATTGATGTAGCGTGCAGCCATCAATAACAACCAGATTCGTCTTCATGTCTCAACAAATCCCACCCCGACCATCCCCTGCCACCACCGCATGGTTCAATTTCCTGCACGCAACAACGTGCCGTCCGTAGCCCTGGCCGACGATAAACACGCACCCTGCCATCTGCTTTGAAGAGTTGGAACCTGCTCTCATCGCTAAACAGTATGACAATTTCTCTGCTGCCATCGCTCGACATTCCTCGCCCACCTCATTTTCTGACGTCGATGTTCACACGT